ATGCTCCCTAGAATAAAAACATGATGATTCCAGAAAATGCTATGAAAAGAATAATGATGTATTAATAAGGGCTCTGGTGGGAAAAATCTCAGCCACACCACCTTTTCAAAAGTGAGCTAATTTTTTTTCCCCAGGAAAGAGGAAGGCTATCCAAGCTTTGTTCTGTAGGCATTCATCTTTCTGGAGGGCAGCTGGGAGCAAGAATCTCAAATCCACTCCCAAAAAGATCCATGGGGAAATATATATATATATTTGCACCTTATATGGAAAAGAGCAATTTAACTCATCAGTTAGTGAGGCGTATAAAATGGAACCATGCCAGAGTTCCTCTTGTGCTATTAAAAACAGAGGAAAAATGGGGTGCTAGTGAGCTTCTTGCCCACTCAGTAATTAAAAATCAATCTTTCAAGAAGAACATCAAGATATTAAGAAAAATGTCATAAAATTGCATCTGATTAAATCATACTTTCCTTTTATTTCTAATAGGCCTCCTTAAACCTTATTCATTCATGAGTACCCAAACTAAATCATTTACAATTTGACACTCTCTGATCCTAGATTTGCAGGGAAGAGGAAAGACACAGACTGGAGAGCTTCAGCATGCACATGTGGTGCTGTTTAGAGTAATGGCATTTTCCTTCTATATGGCATCCTCACTTTGTAGTCCTATAGAGTTCTTCCTGTCACCCTCCTTTTCCCATGCCAATTTAGCATCCATATGAAATGGTTAGTTTCATCAGTTAAGACATGCAGCCTACTTGTCTTTGCAAAAAGATGAGGCTATGCCTGGCTCCTAGAATAAATTGGAGGAAGCTCAAAGAGTTGACTTAAACAAGAAAAGACTATTACTATTAAATAGTTATTCAGACCAGATGAGTGACATTCAAACTGTTTCTGAAGCAACTGCACTATACTCCCCATGAAGAATCAACTTCACCACTTTGAAAACAACTTTGAAAACCCTGCCACAATCATTAGCAGCTGAAGAAGAGTGTATGGTGCCATGTGGCTTTTATGAATTTAGGCTGGTAATCCACATTCCTCCTTTCTGGATATTGGCTGCAGCACTTCCTGGTCTTTTGATGGCCATTTGGGTCACTCCTAGAATGGCCCAAAATAGAACTGACAACAACTGGTATAGAATGATGACCGCGGCAATGTTATCAAGACTGCTGGCTTGGGCTTATCTGCATTGATTTGAAGGACTATAAAGCAAGTAACAGATTGGTACCATGGCACCATTCTTCCGTATGCACTGTTTATGTGTCCCAAAATCATTTTGAGAATCTTCACATGTACTGAAAATTTTCTTTAAGTGTATGACTTTTCAATTTGCCTTCAATACTAAGTTGAGACTTCATTGTCAAAGGACAATTGTCAAAGGACTTCATTGTCAAAGGACAATTACAAGAATAGCGGCTTTAAAAACCTTATTTTAAAGCCGCTATTCTTGTAATCCCTTTAAGCAGCTTCTTCTTCTTCTTCTTCTTCTTTTTTGGGGATATATGGATGGATGCATTGCATCAAGTATTACAGTATATCATGTATTCTTATATTTTATCAATCTTTTCTTTAAACTCTGAGAGTGAGATGGGGCGTTACCTAAATTTGATAAATCAGTTTGAAAAAAAAGACTGCTTTTTATTGTGCTTTTTTTCACTCGCTCTTCAGATTTTATACTGAAGTTTAAAATGCTTTTTATTCTGTGGAATTTTTTTTAATGATGCTTAGAAAACTGATTGATAAATTTGCAAATCCAAATAATCACTAAATGACCAAATTCACAAAGCCCTCCTGGTTTTTATTATATAGTAGTAAACTAGTATCTGAGATCCAGATATTGTTCATAAGCCCAAGAATATGAGCAAAAGTGTGATGCATTGGTTTAGAGCAGCGGTCCCCAACGTTTGTAGCTTGGCAGCCCAGTGGGGGGGGGGAGAGGGGAACTGGCTGAGTGCACACAGGTGTGCTCACATAGCTCAACTTGCACAAGCAGCAGGCTGGCAGGCAGGCATGCACTTACATGTGCAGCTTAACTTGCCCATGTGCACATCGGTCCAATGCTCATGGGGCCCGGTAATGGGCCGCGGCTTGGGGGTTAAGGACCCCTGGTTTAGAGCATAGAGTTTAGAAATGGGAATAAAGATTGAAATTCATTAGCCCAGGAAACTCACCGACTATTTTATTCCAAGGTTTGTTGTGAGGTTAAAAATGTGACAATCCTGCATCTTTTTTTCCCCCTAAGCTTTCTTGCAGAACAAACTTGTTAAATTAGCTGAACTGTTCTTATATCCAAATCTCTTAAGAAAAAGGAAAATCCCTTATCTGTTTGGACAGAAAGTCACAGCAACAACAGGGCTTTGGGAAGAACATTTTATTGCTAAGCATATTCTTGAACAAAAAGGCAATTATGAAAAGAAAAGAACTGGGGGAAAAAGGAAAGGATGGAGAGAAGAAAGGAAACAAAAGTGAGAGATAACGGCACAATAACGTTAATTTTTGTTCAGAAAATAATAGTGAAATGGGAGAAGCTTCCAGACAGAAATGCGCATGTTCCCCAAAATCTGTCCCAAACAAACAGATAGAAGAAAAGAAAAGTGGGTTTTCCTAAAGAAAAAGAAAAAAGCAGAAAATCATTTCACAAGACTCCAAGAACAGCAGCAATCTTTTACAGACATCAAGATATAATCAACTCCATATATGTTTGGCCAGTGAGGCTGTTGAAAATCATTCTTTCACATCTTTTAAAAACCAATCTTTCTCTTTCTCTCTTTCTCTCTCTTTCTTTCTCTGTTGTAGTGTTAAAAAATTAAAAAATAAACCAAAGAAAACAAAACAAATCTCACACACACCAAAAAGATTTGTTAGCCAGGTAAGCCTCTTCTCAAAGCATATGAGAAGGCTGCCTTCTTTTTATTGTTCCCATGTGCGCGTGTGCATTAGATAACACGTCTTCAAAGATTCATGCGACTTATAAACACCAGCAAGAGTAGATTTCTAAACCTAAACAGCTGATTAGATTTCATCTGTACACAGGAAAATTGTACATTTTTTTTATTTGCTAGAGTCCTCTAAGTTATGTGTTTTTCCTGTTTCTATCAATCTTGCTGCCTTTCTTGTTTGCTTTTATTTATTATTGTTATTTTTTGCACATGATATTTGTGGCCAGAAAACACCAGTTGATTATTTTTTACTGTACAGTAAGTTGCTCTTTTGAAAAAATGGAAGAAATTAAAAAAAAGAAATAATCCGACAAAATTAAATTACACTGAATATAATCAACAACTCAATGAAATCTCAGAGCATTTTATGTACATTAGGGTACCCATCTAGAAATTACACCAGTCAAAAAAATTGTAGTAAAATATGTAAACAAAAAAATATTCTTGTCTGAAAATTGTTTTTTTTTTTTTTTTGATACAGATAACTGTGACAAGGTTAAAATGCACACTCTGTTCACATTTTTAAAGTTTAGTTTTTTGCTGTTTTGTAAAAACATTTTTGCTTTACAACAGTCTCATTTCATATTAAGATTTTAACAGCATTTCTGTTCCAGTCATCCCATCAAACATACCATGATAAATATATCTGTGTCTGTATATATATATATATATATATTTATATTTATTTATTTATATATATATTATACTATTAATAAGCTCCTTTATTTTTTCAGTGTGTCATAAGGACTTTTTAAATTTATCTTCTTTCATATAAAAATCAAGGGATAGGGAGCATAGGGCAAATGGAAGGACAGCGAATCAGAAATGTCAATCTACAAAATTAAATTGTGACATATGAAACATACCATCATGTTGTTTTTAAAGCACAGTCCCAATTTTGAATTCCTCTGTGACAATTTTATGCTTGTGTGACATGTGGTTTTGTCACAAGACAAACTCCATAATCTTTCTAAAGACTTTATTCACTTGATCACTACTCTTTGCATTCATACAGTGTCCTCAGCCAAGGAACCAGACAATGACTCCCTTATTTTTGCTTGGACTATTCAATTGAGAATAACTACTTTTGGTTTGGTTTTGATTCCCCCCCCTATAGTTGAGCAAATGGTAGTCAGACATAGCTGGGGGCTCCTAGTCAAAGAAGAAACTGTTATCCTCTTGTGACTTTGCTTACATATAACCAGAGCCAGTATCTGGGGTTGTCCAATTTTCCATGACCATAATTTTCAGCATGATCACCATCACTGCCTCTTCCTCATCTTTCTTTTTTATGTTAACAACTTACTGCAGACAACAGATTCAAGAGACAACACAACCTGATATGTAGAGCAAACACTGTGGATAGAACTTGAGTTCATATATGGCAACAGTCTTTATTTATTGTATTTTTCCCCAAGATTTCTTCTTGACTTATGTCCTGGCTCATTCTCTCAAAAACCTCTCACAGAAAATGAAAAAAACTCAGACAAAAAATACAATGAAAACCCCAAACCATTTTTTATTATTAATATTACTATTTCTTTCCCCCCTCACATCTTGAAAAATGATACTCAGGCTGGACATGGCCAGATCAGTTGTTCTGTTTTGTTTCTAACATTTCCACTTTTTTTCTTTTTCTGTTTTTGTTATTTTTTAAAATAATAAACTGAAAAAAAAATAGCGTACAGTCAAAGATTGTGAACATCATTAAAGACTCACTTGGAGATACGAAACAAGTAAGCCGTGAAGTCTTCTGCCCTTGCAGAACAGTTCAGCTGAGGAGGAACTCGGAAGGCTTTTAAGTCTGCCAACATGGATATGCTGGGGAGGCCTTCTTCTGAACACTATATGTGCTTTATAATACAGGAGGGCAGAGTTTGGGGACTCCAAGCAGTGATTTGAAAACTTAGCAGTCAACGACTGAAATGTTTATGCTCAACATTGGTCTCAAACCGCAGATGGTTTCTCCCAATCTCGTTGGCTGCAACAGTTTTGGTTCAGTTATAGCTCATTCAATATTTATATATTTATATATAAATATTTTTTTGTTTTGTTTTTTTACACATAATATTCTTTGTCCTTGTTTTTCTGTTTCTTGTGGCCGCTCTTTGAACTCTGCTGCTTCTCCTTCATGAGCGTGCCATTGCTCTGGGCTGAGTTGCTGATGTAGTTACGCGTCTCATCCACCTGATAGGACCCTTCGTCCCTGTTCCTGTACTTGTACATGGCATACAGGAGGATCAGGATGCAGAGGGCGGCAGCAGCTACAATGCCGACGACCATTCCCGTTGTGCTGCTCGACTCACGGACCACCTCTGAGGCCCCCGGAACCCGTCTGATTCCTGGCTCCGTGGGGTTTGCTGTGGGCACATTACGGAACATGGGGGAAGTTATTAGCGGGCTCTTCAGTTTTGTGCTGTCTAGCTCATAGGCAGTGGGCAACGGAAGCAAGACTATATCAGGCTGGGGTTTGAGGTCACGGTTATTCATGTTGCCAGCTGGCAATTTGGGCACCATCCCAGTCGAGGACGAAGCTGTGGAGCGGATCAGCTCAGGGGACAAAGCTGTAATAGTAGTCCTACCAGTTTCGGAGACTTTGTTAGGTCTAAAGTCCTTGGCTTCCCACTTGGGTGCGTGTGCTTTGTAGCCACCTTCGAAGATTGAAGTGGAAAGACTTTTATCTGTTACCAAGGAGAAGGTGGTGTAAAAATCTTCATCATCAGTAGGGGGTAGGTTAGAGTCAAAAGTTTCCCCTGAGCCATACCCAGATATCACCAAGCCATCATCATCACAACCATCGCTGCCTTGGTCCGACAAGCAAGGTAACCCCGCCTCAGAGGTCATGGACAGGGAATCTTTGGTGGTCTCAATAATGGTGAGGAGGGGACGGAAGGTAGTGGGGAGTGTAATGAAAGGTGCACGAGTAGTAATAGGAGGGATATCTAAAGGGTCTTCTACAAGAAGAGGGATAACTAATTCACCTCCTGGACAGAAGAAAAGAAAAAAGAAAAAGGTTAGTTCATCTTGAATGCAATGCGAGATGTGCTATTCAGCTCATCTGTCTCAAAGGCTGAGTATATAAACCTGCACATGTATGTGGGCAGCTGCATGAAACCAACAGTTTTTAAGCTGTTAACTCTATCAACAGGGCTCTAAATCAGTGATCCCCAAACTTACTGGCACCAGGGACCAGTTTCATGGCAGACAATTTTTCCATGGGCTGGAGGGGGAATGCTTTTGCACGCAACCTACATCCTGTGCATGTGCACATAAAACTTTGCTCACTCACCTGTCACTTGCACAACCCGATTCCTATCAGGCCACGGACCAGTACCGGTCCACGGACTGGAGGCTGGGGACCCCTGCTCTACATGTTTGTAAACCTACACCTCCCCACACACATATTTGTATGCCGAATCCCTCCTCTTTGAACTTTTCAAATACAGGATATATATAATTTGGTTGTTGAAGATACTCTCAGAGTGACTTGCCAAATTCTAACATCATACATTTCTTCTGTTCACTGTAATATTTGAAGACTTTTCAGTAACTGCATGTTTCATTATAATAGCTACCTTTTAGAATTATGTTCACTCTTTTGTTTTAATTCATAACATATGAAATATTTTAAAAGTAAAATCTCCCTCCACTCATGCTAACTTCTTGGAGACTTTATGAACATATCTATGCAATTTATTAGCAGCATTACAGAAGAAGCTTGTCATTGGCCTATTTGGGATATCTGTTGATTTTTTTTGTCTAGCCAACAGCCTTAGGAGTCCCAAAAGATCCCAGTCCAAATATTAACTGAGCCTTGTTAACTTCCAAGTTAATTTAAGGTTAACTATATTAGCAACTCGGGCCATTAAAAGGCTATCTCACTTTTAAAAATTTAGAATCAATCAAGTGAAGGAAGCAAACAAAAATATATAAATCAGATGCATTTTAAGATGAGTGTTTAATTCAAATAGGATCCAAAAAGATCTTGACAAACTTGAACAATGGGTCCTATCTAACAAAATGAATTTTAATGTGGAGAAAAGCAAAGTTTTACATTTAGGCAGGAAAAATCAAAGGTATAAATACAGATTAGGCGAGACCTGGCTCAAAAACAGTAACTGTGAGAGGGACCTTGGAGTCCTAATGGACGATCACTTGACTATGAGGCAGCAGTGTGCAGCAGCCACCGCCAAAAAAGCTAATACAATCCTAGGTTATATAAACAGAGGCATAGAATCAAGATCACATGAAGTATTAGTATCGCTTTATAAAACCCTAGTAAGACCACACCTGAAATACCGCAACCAATTTTGGTCACCACACTACAAAAAGGATGTTGAGACTTTGGAAAAAGTTCAGAGAAGAGCAACTAAAATGATCCAAGACCTGGAGACTAAAACATATGAAGAATGGCTGCATGACTTGGGTTTGGCTACTCTAAAGAAAAAAAGAAACAGGGTGACATGATAGCACTATTCCAGTATTTGAGGGGATGCCACAAAGAAGAGGGCATCAAACTATTCTCCAAAGCACCAGCGGGCAGGACAAGAAACAATGGTTTGAAACTGACCAAAGAGAGAAGCAACCTGGAATTAAGGAGAAACTTCCTGATAGTGAGGACAATTAACCAGTGGAATAGCTTGCCTTCAGAAATTGTGGGCGCTCCATCACTGGAGGTTTTTAAGAAGAGACTAGACAGTCACTTGTCTGAAATGGTATAGGTTCTCCTGCTTGAGCAAGGGGCTGGACTAGAAGATCTCCAAGGTCCCTTCCCGCTCTATTCTATTCTTTATTCTCTATTCTCAAATAACTGCAATGAGCCAAATAAAATGTCCATTCAGATCTCACAAGACCCTGGAAGGCTGCATCCATTTAAAAATGCTCTATTTAGCCAAATGGAAATTCTTCTACCATCACTGCTACTGCTTTCACAGTCAGGGCTGCCTAGAATTTATTGGATATGTTGTATATTTGTTGGATATTCTTGTTGAAGAAGAGAATATGTGTACTACCAGGAAATTGTAAGAAGAAGAGTAAAGGGGTAGTACTGATACTTAAGAGTGACAGAAAAATAATCAGCAATACCTATATACTTCAAACTAATTTAAATCTCCAGGATGAACTGCAACCTAAGAAATTAAAGGAATTCAATTGTCTGACCACATTTTTATGAAACAGCCTGAGAAATCCTGGAAAATGGATTTAAGTCAGATGGGCCAAAAAAACAAGGAAAAAAGAGCTTCCAGGGAATGATAAAAAGGGATTGATCTGAAAGAACCTTATATTGTGATTACCAGATGCATTATGTCTTGATTTCTGCAAAACCTTTGACCATGACGGCCTTGGACTTGACCCAATTAGTTTATGCCCCCACTTCCATGACGGCCTTGGACTTGACCCAATTAGTTTATGCCCCCACTCACACGGGAGGACACACACTGGATCTAATTTTTGTCTCTGGCCAGTGGCAGAACGATCTGGAAACGGGGGAGGTAGTTATAGAGCCCCTGTCATGGTCAGATCATTCACTCCTTAAGATGGACTTCCGGACCGCTCCCCCCCGCCGCAGGGA